GCTTAACCAACTGAGCCACCCAGGTGCCCCCAGAAAGTTACTTTTTTAAAAAGATTTATTTGAGAGAGAGAGACAGCCCAAGCAGGAGGTGAGAGGGAGGAGAGAGAGAATCCTAAGCAGACTCCACGCTGAGCACGGAGCCCCGCGTGGGGGCTTGATCTCAGGACCTTGAGATCATGACCTGAGCCAAAATCAAGAGTGGGACGCTTAACCAACTGAGCTACCCAGGTGCCCCAAAAGTTACTTTTTGAGTGGTTTTCTTTCTGATTCATTTGAGTAGATGAATTTCATCAGAGTGAATAATGTAGACCTGTAAGAACAACTGACCCAAAGTGTGGATATTTGCATCCTGCAGTGTTCTAAGTCCAGAGGACAATATATATTGTGTTTGGGGAAGGCCCCTGAATTAGCCATGTTCGACTCTCAGAGGATGGGACTCTGTTGCTGTTTTAGTGACTCTGTGTATTTCATCTCTTTATTAGGATGCTGCCAGCACAGATAATTGAGTATTACAACCCCTCAGGACCTCCTCCTCCTCCACCACCCCCCATGATTCCTTCAGCACAAACTGCTTTCGTCAGCCCCCTCCAGATCCCCATGCAGCCCCCCTTCCCTGCCTCCGCTGGCTCCTCCTACCCGGCTCCTCCTCACCCTCCCACCGCTGGGCTCGTGGTCACAGCCCCGCCGCCTCCGGGCCCACCGCCTCCTCCGCCGGGCCCCCCTGGCGCAGGCTCTTCTCGCTCGTCCTCCCCAATGCATGGCCCCCCTGCAGCTGAGGCAAAGCGCCAAGAGACGGCACAGCCACCCATAAGTGATGCTCGAAGTGATCTTCTCGCTGCCATTCGAATGGGTAAGTGAGCATCTCAAACACAGTGTTCCTTTTAGAAAGAGACTTCTTTATGGCTCTAATCAGCTGCAGCCTAGTCTTCTTCAAATGACTACTCTTTCCACTGAACTGTTTTTTAGAATAGGGTTAAAGGACACTTGTTTGATTTTGTTTTTTTAACAGGAGACCTGTTTTTGCCAGTGCAAGATAAATATACAATAATAGAGTATTGAGAGAATTCAGGAAAGCTGTACTTGACTAGAAATAGATAATAAAAATGATCATTGATTAATTGGATCTTTTCTCTGCATCTACTCTAAGGGTAAATGTATAAATGAAAGAAAGTGAGCTCGTATCAGTGATTGAGTTCTTTTTAAAAAGCTGAGCTACATCCTAGACTTTCCATATTTTTAGCTTGATGTGCTAAGCCAGTAAGTTTTTCAACATTTATTTAGCAGCAAGATTCTTTTGTCAGATAAAAGTCCTACACTGAACCCCAGAACATGAGACATACAGAAATAGAGCCTCTCTGGTCAAATCAGGATGGAGGAGCCCAGACGCTCACCCGTTTTGGCATCCCCTCAGCGCCACACACTAACCATCTGTTCCACCCCATTTATTCTCAGCCCCAGGCCACAGCCCAGGCCGGTTGAGGGTCACTCACAGGGTGTGCGGATGTCCTAGGAGCTCCTCATTCAGTGGGGAGTTGCACCATCTCTTGGTCACAGGCTCGTTGTTTCCATCTGGAAGGGATTGAGAAAGGCATCACTGACGTCCTTCCCAGGATGGCTGGGACATTACTGCCTCTGCTTTTTGCTTGAGTGCCCACAAATCAGACCTGAGTGTGGCACACAAGCCCAGCCTTCTCGTAGGTCTTCAGCGTCATTGACACACTTTGATTTTGTCAAGAAAAGAAGTCCTAGAGCTCTGCAACCTCTTTGATAAATTTAGGGTCATAGTAGGACAGTGTTTTTGTTTTTGGATACCTGTGAGCCCCTTCCAATAAGAGTGATCACGTAATCAGGATCTAATCATGAGGAAACAGGAAGCCCACATCAAGGGACAATCGACAAAGGAGCTGCCTGTGTTCTTCAAAAATGTCAAGGTCAGAAAACACAAAGACTGAAGAACTGCCCAGATTAAGGGACATTAATGAAAGATGACAACCAATGTAATGGGTGTTCCCATGTTGGATCCTAGGCCTGGCGGAAAACTTTCTGCTGCTTTTAAGTCTACTGGCAAAATTTAAATAAAATTTGTAGAATAGATGATAGTATTGTATCTGTGCTAGTAGTCTGATTTTGATCATTGTTTTTTAGGAATTACACATGAAGTATTTTAGCAGCAAAGGAACATTATATGCAATTTATTCTCGGGTGGTCCAGAAAAAAGTGTGTGTGTATTAGCAAGAATGATAGAGAAAGGTTGCTAAAACGAAGTGGTCAAATGTTACCAGTTGGGGAATCTGGGTTTAGGTTTTATGGGGATGTTTTTCTACTAGTCTTTCTTTTGTGGGGGGAGGGTCAGCAGGAGAGGGAGAGAAGGAATCTTAAACAGGCTCTATGTCCAGCATGGAGCCCAACTCATGGAAGGAACCCTGAGATCATGACCTGAGCCGAAATCAAGTTGGATGCTTAACCGACTGCACCACCCAGGCGCCCCATTTTTCTACTAGTCTTACAGGGACTCTATAGAAAAAATTAAAGAATTAACTTTAAATCATCTTTGTTACCCACTGTTACTTAATAAGAAGGTAGACCATTGTATTTTGTATTAATTTTTAGCAATAGTTGATGAAACAAAGATCTCCGTTACCTCCCTGAACTAGCCAAAAGCTATTAGCGTAAAATGCTGCTTTCCAAGCCTTTGGATTATAGCAATGTCCAGGAAATGTTCATGATAGAAGTGTTCCATGTTTGTATGGTCCAATATGGTAGCCACTAGGCACAATAAATTTACCTTTAATTAGCCACTTGTAGCTACCTTAATGGAAGGTGCAGCTCCAGAATTTTCTTTCATGATGTTCATGTGCACTGGAATTCTAAGTTTTTTTTTATTTCAACACATTACTATAAACAGTGTTACAACTTTGAGTATGTGTGGGTTTTTTTGTTTTTTGTTTTTTTGGTCACAAAACTTCCATTTTCCAAGCTTTTCTCATCTCAGGTTTCCAAAACTTTTTACCTTTGGTGTCAGCAGGGTGGGAGAAGGTAAATAGACTTATTAGTTTGTTTTCCTTAATTTGGAGCAAGCAGAGGGATTTAATTCTCCTCTCCGGGTTGTGTCCCCAGGGATTCAGTTGAAAAAGGTGCAAGAACAGCGCGAGCAAGAGGCCAAGCGCGAGCCAGTCGGGAATGACGTGGCCACGATCCTGTCCAGACGCATCGCCGTGGAGTACAGCGATTCTGACGACGACTCGGAGTTCGATGAGAACGACTGGTCCGACTGAGGCGGCGCGCATGCGCAGCGGGGGCGGTGCGCTGCCGAACCCGGCGGCCACCGGAGGCCCTGTGTTGGAAATGTCTTGAAAATTTTAAGTGGTCTCAACACCCACATAGTGGTATTATAATCCTGTAGCTTAGCAACTTTTGTATTAATAATGTGATATTGCTTTTGCACATCCAAAACTTCTGGGTTTTTTCAGTATTTACTGTGTAATACTTAAGTGCCACTAAACATAGCAAATTGTGCTGCACATGAGGAAATATGCTGTAACTATCGCATTGTCCTGAAAACAGCCTCTTGCTTACTTTTTCTTGGCCATGAAAGTACTTAGTGCGGTTTGGATTTCCTCTTCTTGATCACTATAATTCTGCAGACTTGCTGTGTGTTTGTGAAGCTGCCTGGTGTTAGGTCTTTGCAAGATTAACGAACGTGTGTCAGAGTGATGTCTTCCAATCAGTAAGTGGACCGTTTCACCCTTTTTTGTTTGTTTCAAATGTGTTTCCGAAGAAGTTGGTTCCAGAGGGAAAGATTTAACAAGGAGAATCAAGCGTCGCTGCTTTCCGTTTCTTGGTTCGGTCGCCTCTGTGTGAATCGGAACGCTCTGTGAGATGATTTGGTTTCCTTTGCACGCTCTTGTGAAATGTGAAATTGGAAGGGCCCTTTCCAGGCAGGATTCCCTGCGGGCACTCACTTGGTCGGTGCTTGTTGATGATTTGTGTTAAGAGCTTCCAGCCGCTGTGCAGTCATGAAAATGAACAGGGTTCTTTTTCCTCGGCGGCGGGGAGAGGGATCGGGGCTGACACTGGGAACACCTGGCAGCCCCTAGAGCCCCGGGGGCCAGCCGGCCACACGGACACGGCGGGCGGGGCTCCGCCCGGTGCAGAGGAACCCCCCTCCCCCACCCCACCCCGGCCTTTCCTGGAGCCGTGTCCTAAGTGAAGCCGGTGTAGTTCCTGGCTCCCCGGTGTGCTCCAGAGAGTGCTTCCCATGGCACCTCGCTCCACTTGGTCTGGATTTTAAAGCTTAGATTTTAGGTGAAAGTAGATGCTGACAGCTATTCGCTTTTCCTGGTGCTGTGGCCAGGTTAGGGATCCATCACCCAAGTAGGGCCTTGGCCCTACTCCTAGAAGCACACGGTTCTCTTTTCTCATGTTGTCCTCAGCACATTAAATGTTAAAAAGTACCTCAGATTAGATTAGACGTGTAGCTGTTCCAGATCACTTTCCTTTCACCTTAGCCCTAACTGCTGTTCTTCCCACATGGCCATTCGAGAGACCCCCCGGGGTTTATTATCATGGTGAGAGCAGAGCACTGGAAAATAGGATGGCAGCTTTGCTCTTGTAATCTTGGGTGAAGGGTAACTGCTTGTTCAGAATCAAGAAATGCCCCCAGGCTTCGATTATAGATACAACTTCACAAATATACTAAAACACTTCACTTACTATGGATTCTTACCTACATACAGCCTTTCAAACGGATGGCAGTTATTTGTGACTCTCTGTCATGATGGAGTCTTTAGCTCAAGACAGACTTGCCTGGTTCATGGTAGTCATCTAAACAGGACCATGACCAATGGATTTTTGTTAATGAGTCCTCCTGAAGACTTCAGCGGTGCCCCCAAACCACGTCCGTGTGTCCCCAAGTGGACATTGATTCGGCTTGTGGGCAGTCATCATTGGGTTTTAATCATGCAGATTTTGAAACTCTGAAAAGCCTGATGTCTGCATCCCCTTCCCGAGACCATGGCTTCCTGTATCAGGTTACCTGAGTCTTTTCAGCTGTACTAGCTGTTTGGACACATGCTTCTTGAGTTTCTGTTTCTTGGAGCTAGTCACCATACTTTTATTGAATATAAGTGGTAGTTATTAATGGACTTTTACATTTCTTTCTTTGATTTCTCCCCCCCCCCTTTTTTTTTCCAGCATAAAGTCCTACTGTGTTGGCATTATTCTTGGGACTTTTACCATTTGTAGTCTGATTTTATCTTTATTACAGTATTTTGTTTTTATTGTTCCTTTTCAGTTAGGAATTACTTGTATAATTCTAGAACTTAAATTTGGTAACGCTTCTTTGTTTTTTATGTCCCTTCTGTTCTCAGGATGAAGAGAACACATAAAGCTACTATCCATGTCAGGATTTCTTCTATTTATATCTTATTACAATAAAATTACTGGCACTTTATTCATAAATATTCATAAGCCTATTAATTATTAGTTGTCTTCCTGTGGTTTAATCAACAAGTTATTTTCGACTTGATTTTCCGACTAGTGAAAACCTTTTGCCCTAATGTGTTGCGTAGCCTTTAAAAGAATGGAAAATGACTAAAATTCAATTTAGATGATTTTTGCAGTATTTTTCTCAGCAAATCTGATTTATTCTAAAATTAAATCCAGACTTTTTCTAATGTGCTATTACATGAAAAGGAAAAAGTGAATATTTTGCATTTTCAGTTTTCATTTTCAAGAACTATTTACCAAAATGAATGGAGAAAAACATTTAAAAGCATATTTCTTATCTGTGGATTTTACATTTTAAAGTAGTAGTTATAACATTGTAAGGTTATTTTAAACTGCCCTCAGTTTTTTCCCCCCATGTGTATTTTAGATTAATTTCTTACAAGCTTTTTTCTCACATCATAGATTAGGCAAGGGGATGAGAAGTTTACTCGGTACCACACATTAGCTTACACAAACATAACGTGGTTGGTTTTCCATTGTTAACCCCAAACCATGAGATTTGGTACACTTATGTTTTTCTTTATTGAAAGTACATGGTTAGAAAATTAACATTTTCATTTCAGTAAATTTTAGAATATCAAAATCTTTTCTGAACACCAAGTGGCTAGGTTGTGAAAGTTTTGTAATAATTTGCAACTGGAATACATGATACATTTTAATCCATTAAAGACTAGTGGGAATGTATCAGCCAGAGTAGCAAGTAATTTTTGTTTTATAAATCAGAGTATCTGTCACCTTGCAGTATTACCAATGCTGTTGTAAATTGAATTTAAAGTGGTATTAAAAAACAAAAAACACACCTCCTGTTAAACAATTTTTATCTGTTTGTATATCTTACTATAGATTATGTACAAGTAACATCTAAATAAAATTACACTTTTAACCCTAAAAGGTTTTGCTCATTGCTAACGGTGTTGTATGTTTAACCTTTTTTGGAGGGGAGAAGTTGGGGGTTGGGTGGAGTTTTTAATTAGCATTTTCATTATGAGATAGCAAAAGATACCACTCTGATTTCCATTTAAATTTCTGCATAAGTTTTGCATGTCCAAGAGTTTAGATTGGATTCTGGGAGTGACTTGGGAAGCACTGGCATAATTAGAAAAAGCCTTTCTGGGAGCAGGAAGCCACATGCTCAGATGAGGCATCTTGGCCACATCTAGTCTCAGTAATAGTGATGAATACTCTGTACCATTTATTGCTTATGGGATGCTTTCATTCAGTCCTTACGATAACCCTTTAAAATGGGCATTCTCTCTATTTCATATATGAGCAAACTAGCATGAAGTTAACTTGCTGGTCAAGGGCCTTGGTTGACATCGAATTCACTCTGGGGGGAGCCGTGCTCCTGAGGGACAATGGGAACTGAGTCGGGGAGGTAAGTGTGGCCATGTTTGGGAAAGCCGGCTGGAATGAGCTTCCAGAACAGCTGCCTCTGAGTTACCCGTGCCTGCCGTGTCCACCTCCCACAACACGCGTTTCCCAGGGTTCTAGCTGGGTCTCCCCACAGCCTCCCCTCCAGACGGCGTGTTCCGTGAATACTGTCTGCATCTTTGTATCCAGAGAGCACATGGCCAATCTGCTAGACAGTGAGCAGCCCCTTGTTGAATGACTAGGTGAATGGATAGATGTCAGAGTTACTTTTTTACCAAAAATGAATTGTGTGCAACTTTAAAAAAAAAATGAAATATTTTACCCCATAACCTGTATTTCCCCCTTATTATATATTTGTCATTTGATGAATGGGTCCCACTTTCTTTTGGTGTATTTCCTACAAGACTGAACTTAGTGAGGCAGGCATGGGGCCTCTTATTTACTCTTATATGCTGTTTACCAAGCACAGTGCCTGACACTTGATAGGTGTCGGTAAATATTTATTGAGTGGTTGTTTTTTGTAGGGCAGAGGGGGAGGCTTCTTGATCAATAAATATTGGAAGGCCTAAGAAGAGCTTGAATGCAGTAATAGGTGTAGAGCACCTAGAACAGTGCCTGACACTTAGCAGTGTCTGCAACTCACTTGGGGAAGATGGAGGCCAGTCTCTGTCCTTATGGAGCTTCTTGTCTAAAGAGAAAAACAAACATTAAATATTGTCAAATAATTTTAGATAATTTTACATATACTTAAAGGGGTGGTGTGAGGAGTGCCCAATCTAGTCTGTGGGCCAAGGGAAGCTGAGGTCTAAGAATGAACAGGAGCTAGGGGTTGAGGGAAGAGAAAAGAGTTTCTCAAGAGCAGGACAGCATTTGCACCCCCTATGGTGGGAAAGATAGTATGGCATAATAAGGGGAATGAAGTATTAGTGAAATGGAAGAAGTGGGAGGAAGAGGAACGTCATGAGACCATATACAAAAATGGTAGACACCTTCTCATGCCCAGCACTCAAAATTGAGAGAGGTTTTAAGCCAACAAACACCACCAAAGCTGCAGCTACAAATGTACAGAAGATTTCTTCCTATTTGCAGCCTGATGGTTATTCATTGATCTTGACAGCCTTGGGCCTTAGACTAATGGTATATTTAGAAGGCACCTCAGTGTCCAGCTAGTCCAGCTCCCTAGTGTTAGAAATGGGGTAACAGACCATCACTCGCATTGCTTGGGGCTCCAAGCTTGGTCTCTTAGTTCTTGAGTTTCAAACTAAGGTCCTTCTGTTCCACAGTAGACCTCAAGAGTTAGGTAAACATCTCTCCCCTCAACATTTTATTATGAAAAAATTGAAACCTACAAGAACATTGTTTAGTAAACACCCATAGAACCATATCAATCCATCTATCCATCCATCCACCTTATTTTATGCATTGCAAAGTAAGTTGCAGTATACTTACCTCTGTGCACTTCAGTATACATTATCATAGAGTTTAATATTTATAGATAATATTTAACACTTCTAAGGTAAAAAGTAAAATGCAACATCCTACATATACCGATGAGTTGTAACAATGTGTACACTCCCATAGTGCAAATCCCATCAAGACAGCATCCCTGTGACCTCAGAATGTTGCTTCATTCCCTTTCAGAGTCCGCTCTCCTCTGTCTCGGTCTGTGGGGTAGCAAACACCATTGTGGGTTTTTTTTTTTTAAACTATAGATTGAAAAAAATAAAATAAAAAATAAACTATAGATTGATTTAGCCTGTTGAAGAACTTCACATATATGGAATAAAGCAGTCAGTACCATTTTACACCTTTTATTTTTTTTAAGATTTTATTTATTTGAGAGAGAGAGCGTAAGAGAGATCTTGAGCAGGGGGGAAGGGTAGAGAGAGAAGTAGACTCCCCACTAAGCAGGGAGCCCAATGTAGGACTCAATTCCAGGACCCCTGAGATCATGACCTGAGCCGAAGGCACACACTTAACCAACTGAGCCACACCGGGCTTCTTTTAGCATAATGTTTCTGAAATCCATTCATGTCATTGCATATATCAATATTTTATTCCTTTTTGTCACAGAGTAGTTATGTGAATCCATTGTATGAATATACCACAGTGGTTTTATCCATTCTCTTGGTAAGACTTAATACAACTCCTTTCTGGACATACCTGTTCATCTATCTTAGATAAATAACCAGGAATGAAATTGCTGAGTCATAGGTTGGTGTATGTTTAGTTTTAAAAGAAATTGACAGACTTGGGCAAAGTGGCTGTATTAGTTTAAACTCATCAACAATGTTGCTCCACATGCTGCGGTATGATTTTCTTTGCATTCATCTTGCTTTTGGGGTTCAGAGCTCGAATCTGTAAATTTATGTCTTAAATGAAATTTGGGAAATATTTGGACATTACTTTTTTCAATATATTTTCCGTCCCTTTCTTTCTATCCTCTCCTTCCTATTACACATATATTAGACCTTCTGAGGTTGGCCCACAATTTCTTGAAGCTCTTTTGATTTAAAAATTACTTTTCTCTCTGTTCTGCAGATTGGATAATTTTTATTCATTTATCTTCAGGTTCACTGACTCTTCCATCACCTACAATTTACTCTAAAGCCCATCTAATAAATCTTTTATTCTGACCTTTTTTTTCCATTGTAGAATTGCCTATTTTTTTATATAGCTTTATTTCTCTGCTGAGATTCCCTACCTGTTTGTTTATTACAAGCTTATTTTCCTTTACATCTTTCAGCGTGGTTACACTAGCTCTTTAAAAACCCTTGAGTGCTAATTCCAACATGTAGATCTTTTTAGGATCAGTGTCTAATGATTGTCTTTTCTCTTGAGTGCATGCCCAGTAGTTTGGGATTAAATCCTAAACTTTATAAATACTTTAGAAACTCTGGATTTTGTTATGTTCCTCTGAAAAGTAGTGATTTTTAAGGGAGTTGCCATGACTAGAATTAAGCTCCCAACTCTCTCCACCCTGCCCTGCGATGGATAACAACAAAACTCTCAGAAGTTTGTTTAGCTTAGCCAGGTTGCTTTGAGTTTGCCTTTGCATTACACCTGGTTACAGCTCAACCAGAGATTTGGGCAGTTTTACACAGAGTTTTCAGATCCTCCTCTCTGGCTCTCCTTTCTAGTATTCTGTCACTTTCTACCTGTTTAGGTTACTCTGACCTTGGTCCTTTTATTTTTTTAAGCCAGTAAGAGTGTGGGGTAAGCCAGCAAATCTATGGGTTTTCTACTGAAGTGTAGCTGCCCTGCCTGGTAGGATGGAGCCTGTCCTCAGGCAAAAAGCCACTAAAAAAATAGGAAATGCACCCGAAGATTTTCCTTCTGAGCCTCAACCCTCTGGTGTCCTTCTGATTTTGATTTCTCTCCAGTGCCTTCAATAGTTGCAAAGTGTATTTTTGTCCACTAATTGTAATCTGTAAAGAATTGGTCTAGAATGGGCTAGTCCTGCATTCTCAGGAACCTCATTCTATAAATATTTGATGTGATAACTATTTTTTTTAATATTTTAAAATGCAATTTAAAAATGCAGACTGTTGTTAAAAGCCAAATTATAAACAGAGGACCACTTCAATTTTTCTGCCAGGTGAACTTGTTTTTTGCAGGGGCCCTGCATTAAAACTTATGACATCTTTA